CATTTTTTTTTTTTTTTTTTTTTTTTTGTATGAACGTCTCTGCAAGCCAGTAACAGGCTAAACAGACTTCCAGCATATGTTTTTCCAGAGCAAGAAAAAACGACTTATGGGCCTGATTCTCCAGGAAGGAGGACTTGGCTGAGGATTTGGGGAAGAGGAGATCTGGTGGTACCGTTGTTTGTGAGCACCTTAATTGACCCCAAACCCTTGAACACACACACACGAAAACTTTTTCTAAATCATTTGCTTATGACACAACTGTAGATCAGTACTTACAGCAGCCCGTCACTCAGCCCTGGAACAGAAGCTTGTAGACATCACCAAAGAGGTGGTATTCATATTATGGACATTTATGTCTTCGACTCTCAACATTGCACTTGTTTTGCTCTAAAATATTAATAGCTTGTGATGGGTTTTGGGATCCATTTGGAACTTGGCTGGAAACCTGGAGTCACAGCTGGAATCCTGGAATACGATTCTCATACTGACCAAAATGCTGAAGAGGAGCTGAGTGTTTGGAGAGGACGTACCTTCTTTTTTTTTTTTTTTACTGTTTGTTAGGCTGAATAACTGCTTTGTTACAGGGACACTTCCCTATATAGTCACTTTGGCTGTTGTACTAACCATTGATTCCCAATGTGTAGGGTAGGCCTGTGCTGTAATATAGGATTGTGAAAAAATGTGGATTGTAATGTTTTATTTAAAAAAAAAAAAAGAACAATAACTTTGGCACTCTGGTTTCAAAGTTGGATCCGTTTTTTTGGTTTTGTTTTTTTGTATATCTGAATTTTTGACAGGATGCTCATACTATGTAAAGGACATATTTACTGAATATTTAGTCTGTGCTTCATAAAGTAAGCTTTTATACACATTATTTGAGTTGTAATTTATTCTCTACATGGTCAAGAGACGTTGATTGATAATACTGTAACTGTAAGCAGTTTTAATTTAGCCTTTTACTTAAAGCTCAATTTTAAATCACCTGTTAATTTTAACTGGACCAAAGCTATAAGCTTAAAGCAACAAGACAAAAAAGCCCAACTTTTTATAGCCGTCACAACTTCTTTATTCTGTGAATCTTTTTTTTTTTTTTTTTTTTTTTTAAAAAATTTTTTTTTTTTTTATTTTTTTTTTTTTTTTTTTTTTTTTTACAGAAGAGATATTTGTTAAATTATTGAATACTTAAGAGGCCTCTCACAAGTCTTTTAACTATTTCAACAGAGCCAGCTGTAGACTTAGACCATGACTTTAATGAAGTGTTGGGGTTTTTTTTAAGTTTCCGAGGCACCAAAGTGCTCATTATCAGAATATAAACCGTTTTGGGCGGCGTCGGTCTTGAGCCTTTTTGTTTGCAGTCACATTAACGTATTTTAGCTTTAAAAATGTTTAGGGGGAAACTACACTAATAACCATGGCAACGTAAAGCTGCCAACAAATATGGCGCCGCTGAATGTCATGTTAGCGCAAGAAAATAAATAATATTTTCCGAAAAAAGTTGACTCAAAATATATGTTTTAGTGGTGTCAATGTTACCGGCACGCCGACGAAACGCTATTACTACATTACCCAAAATGCAACTGATGCAACCAACTGAGAGCGATAGGTTCAGGTGCGTCAGTCTTTACACCAACCCGTTTTTACTCCTATTCGTTATGTATTTTAGATTTGAGTCCTGTCTGTTTTATAAACAATCATTAGCTTATGTTTGACTCGTACATTTTTCTTAATAGTTTCCACGAAACTAAAATATGACCCACCATTATTTCAAAAGGGCTAGAATTTGATAAATTATTCTTAGAAGTGTGGCTTTGCCCATCACGCCGTCAACCTTTTACCACAGAACAAAACAACGGGAGAAAATAACCCGTAGAATTATCATGAGCGTCACTGGTGATATCAGCTGAAGCGATTTGCCAGTAAACTAAGTCGAAAAATGGCTTTTCATAACGGCCTCTTTCTACTTGATAAATGAAGCAACATTTATCAAGTCACTAATACCAAGCGACATTTGTGCACCTTCCACAGCTTCGGCTAAGTACCATACTTTTGCTGTTTCCACTATCAACAAAACTAAATCACATGTCACATATTCAAAATTTAATTTAAAAAAAAAAGTAGAAAAAAATACCCTGTCAAAGAATGCACTACCACTGCAAAGAAAGAACACCCTTTATGCTGTAAATAATTTGAAAAAATTAGGGAAGAGAGCAGTAAGAGCAAATCCCTTAATGGTTTCTAGTGCAGGGATAAATCCTCACCCGGCCGTTGCTCTGTTAACAGCATGCCGTCTCCTGCATCTTGCAGTAAGCCTTTAATACGTATGAAAATCAAAAGCACATGTCTAGAGGACTGATCTTCCAGAGGGAAACCTGTTGGCCAGCAGTAGCTGTTAAAGATGAAGTACCCTCAGCAGCTTTATCTCTAGTTGGATTTAGCTTGATTTGCTCTCCCAATCTGACCCAAGATTTCTTAATATCATGATAGTCATGGTAATGTTTCCAAATAAACATTAAATTAAAAGCAGGCTCTCTTTCAGTTCCGATGTTACTGCAAAGTTTTTTAATGCAGCATGAACAGGAAGACTTGACACCTCTCAGGGACAGCCATGCATCGCACCCAACACGTTGCAGGCCGGTGTGTGTCACAAAAGGTAAAAGTAGATGACTGAAAAGTAAGAAAAGGACAGAGCAAGTATGGCCTGTTTGGAAAGGGAGCAGGAAAATTGCGTTTCTCTCTAAAAAGAAGATGGCAGCACAGCTATATTAAGCTGCATCAAACCAAAACCAAAAACACAAACAAAAAATATCCTTTGGCAATACCAGTCTAAATCGTAGACATTTTAAGAAAACCAAACAAAAAACATCGGCAAGAACACCTAACACCAATTGTAAAGCACAGTGGGGGCAGGATTATGATTTGGACACCTTGTAGTTATTGGGTTGACAGTGAATGGCCCGATATGCCAAAGTATTCTGGAATCAAATGTGAGGCCATCTGTCGGACAGCTAAAGATTGGCTGAAACTGGCTCATCAACAGGACAATATCCAAAACACAGCAGCAAATCTACAACAGAATGACTGAAAAATAAAAGAATCGAGGTGCATCAATGATCCTGTCAAAGTCCAGAGATCAACCTGATTCTAGTGTGTTAATTAATGCCCCACAATGATTTTAGAGGCTGTTAACATCAAATAGAGAGAAAACAACAATTATTTCATGTCATTGCAGGTGGTTCCAAAAGCTTTGGAATCATGTGGTGGATGTTGATAGTTTGGTTGAACAAACAACCACAGTACAATA